ATTTATCTATCCAGCTTATTCCCTAGCCATCCCACCAAAAATTATAAAAGACATCAATAAGGTGAATTTTAATTTCATATGGAAAAATAAACATCATTATGTTAGTAACAGGGACTTGATAAAAGATTATGAAGAGGGGGGTTTAAAAGCAATCGATTTTGAAATAATGAATGGCATTTTAAAGATTAATTGGCTACGATCTTTCTTGAAAAATGATAATGACATCTGGTTCTTGATACCATCTCTTATTTTCAACAAAGTTGGGGGGATCCAACTCCTTTTAGTATGTGATTTTGAAATTTCTAAACTACCCATAAAACTTTCCAAATTTCATCAACAAGTTTTGTTAAATTGGAAATTAATGTTTAAACATAACTTCAGTCCCCACAATGTTCCATTGTGGAATAATAGGGTGATATTGAATCGGGGGAAATCTATGTTTGTGGAAGAATGGATGACAAAACAAATTTGGTCTGTGACACATATAATAGATGAAAATGGAGATATACTGGAATTAAACAGGCTTAATGAGAAATATAACATGAGTTGCTCGCTCGAGCTTTATAAAAAGGTTTCACAGAATATCCCAACAGTCCTTGTAAATACGGTAAAGAACAATTTTTCAAATATGCAGACTCCAAATTTACATAAAATTAAACTAGATGGTCTTGACTTGGTTGATGGAAAATGCAATAATCAGTTTTTAAGGAAGTATTTGATTAACACTTTATATCCAGGAAGGACAAAACATTCACTCGTTTTTAGAGATTATAACAAGTCTGAGATTTCGTTGATCAGAACCAAATATTTAACATTTCCAATTCCCCCCAAATTTAAAGAAGTCCATTTTAAAACTACAAAAAATATTTACCCCTCCAATGAATTTATGAGAGACAGATTTAAATTTGTGTTAGACAACTGTTATATTTGTAAAACAACTTCGGAAACAACAGAGCACATGTTCTATGGATGTGTGACAATCCAGAATTTATGGAAATCTCTCCATGTCCTAATATTGTCCCAGTATGGATATATTGATTTTTGGTCTTTTCAAAATATTCAAATTGGAGTAATCCTTATGGACAAAAATAGTGAGTTTTTAGTTAACAATCTCATTATTATAACAAAGTATTACATACATAAATGCCGATATGCTAAATCCCCCCCTTCATGGCCTGCTCTTAAAAACGAACTCTCCCTGTTCTGTAAATCTCTTAAGCTAATAAATAAGCCCCAAGCAATCAAATTGCATAGTTTTTTAGAAGAGTTTGATTTTTCTTAGCCCGTTATTTAAGTTATGTGTCTTGTCTATGGAACCTCACTTTTAGAGATTTTTGATCCCCCTTGTCTTTTTTTATTTCTGTTCCTTGTTTTTCTTTTTTCATCTTTCATTTTTTTTAATTCTTATTTATTTTTGTATTGGTTATTCATCTTTTTATATTATTTTATATAGATGTGTGAATATGGTTGTGTATATACACATGTGTATATGCAAATATATGTATATATATGTGTGCGTGTATGTATGTTTACTTTTAGTTATTGTCGATCTCACTGTGATGTATAGGAGATGTGACTCTGTTCTGTTTGTTTTAATATGTTGCTTTTCTCCTTGAGATTGTCATTGTTACTGTTCTAAATAAAGTTCATTAAAAAAGTTTCTTGTAGGGGGTGACTTGCTGTTTAACGAGTCTGGTAGCAGGTCAAAGGTCAGTCAGCTGACAGAGTTTAAAACGAATAATTGAAAATGTATTTTGACTGAATCAAACGTTGATACCAGATTTATTCGGGACTGCATCTTTTAAGAACTCACCCACAAGCTGTTTCCGTGAACTCACATCTATTAATCAGATGGATCTTTGTGAATCCAGAGAGCGGCTGCTGCCATCTTGTGGACGGATGATGTTCCTGCAGCAGCTTCTCTCAGAGACACCGAGGAGCTCAGAAACTTCAGGCTGATGGTGGAGCTTTTTTAATGGTCCTTTATCAACGTGTTTTGCATTCAGACACCGACGGAGAAGAAGCCTCAGTGTCTCTGGATTCTGGATCAGAGCCTGACTCAAAACATCACCGTAGAGGAGGATATGTAGCGTTCAATAACCCAACAGTGGCTTTGATGCTCCTGCATCTTTAACATGTGGACAGATGTGAGGCTGTTAGCCATTTATATTTACACAACAGTTTAATACTGATGTATTTACAGGAAAGAGAAAAATGCAACAGAAACACGTTGAAGGTATAAATTCTGTTGGTTTCCTGATCTTTCAGAGACTTTTTGCATCTTTTATGGTAAAAATCTCATTTTGTTCATATTCTTTTTCCCCTAAATAAATAAAACAATAGAAGACAGACATTCAACAGAGCTGCTGCTGGTGGTGCTGCTCCAGCATAGAGGAGCCGTTTCCTTATCTCTGGTTCTGGAGTCAAAGATGGTCTCTGAGTCTGGAGCTGATCAGCGGCTGCTGCTGAGACGGACGTGACACTGACTTTATTCACAGATCTTAATAAAAATTAAATGAAAGGGGTTTGTTGTTCTTGTCTTTGATTATTACAGTAGAAAAGAATCTATTCTACTCATCCGTAACGCTGAGCGGACCTTCTCCAGTGTTGGAGCCACGAGCTGTCACCACCTCACACTGATACAGACCAGAATCTTCAGTCCTGAGTCTGGACACAAGATGTCTGATTTCTACACAGGTCACCCCATCCCCTGGTTCCTACTTCATGGCGACACCACGCTTTAGACTCTGCATTCACTGGCCAACCCAGGGGTGGAAGCTAGTTGGGTCCAGGTTTGTGTAGCTTTCATGAGTACCAAGGATCACAAACACACGACCCTGTTGGAACCATTCTCCATTCCCGGCCACTGCTTTGACCACGTTGACCTGGTTGGTCCCTTTCCTCCTTCGCAAGGTTTCACCCACCTCTTGACCATTACTCATCCTGACAGTGTCTCAGATCCACATTTTATATTTTGCAGCAGAATTATTAGGATTAATCAAAAATTATTGAATTAAATAAAATTATTGAATTGAATTGAACTGAAATTGAAATCACCCAGAGGTGGATTTAGCTTCAACTTACTCAGCGTGTGAGCACCCTGGTCCTGAAACAGTCGCTCAGCCTCTTTGCAAATGTTGCTCATCTGTTCAACAGCACCTCTGTGATTATTCCAACATGAAAGTCCAGCCTCACAGCTCTATAGAGGAACGTTCCCATCGTTCCTAGTTGTTGTAGACTGGAACTCTTTCTGTTCAGACACCCTGGTGATCAGACTGATGCACAAACACTCGTTCATCCGTTACTTCTTGAACTCAAGCACAGCTTTTTATTCTTCAAGCAGCTGGTCTGAGTCAGAAGGTATAGAGACTGTTGAGCTTCTGAACATCACAACTAAATAATCTGAGTTTATTTGTGTCTAGTATTGTTTGATAAATCTGGTCTCATAGGCAGGATTTAAAAAAAAATACTTTATTTGTAAATACACGAAGGAAATCTGAGACAATTCTTAGTTTTAGAAAGGCATTTGTGTGTGTGTGTGTGTGTGTGTGTGTGTGTGTGTGTGTGCGCGTGCGTGTGCGTGTGTGTGTGTGTGTGTGTGTGTGTTAAAGTTGCTGGCGAGATTCAACTCAAAGAAGTCCAGATATGGAGCTGAAAATAAATATTTAAGAAGACCATAAAAATTCTTCTTTAATATTCAAAACTCCTAACTTTTAAAACATGTGAACTTCCTCATTTGATGAATACGAGTTTCAGAGGAAAAGCAGAAGAACCGGAACGCAACATTCAGTAAAATCTGCCCTGATGGTTTTATAATTTATCTTTTAAAGTTGAATTAAGTCAAAGAGTTTAACTGAACATGCCAGACTAATTATACCCTGGAAGGGAAATCTTTTACCAGCCTCCACCGGCTTAAAAGCAAAGAAAATATTTTTATGTCCTTTTAATAAGAAATGAATACATAAATAAAATGGTTGTTGGTGTGTGCATGTCAGTGTTTTCCAAACTAAACAGATTTCCTATATCTTTCAACCTTTGGTCTATGGATCATGTGTACAATAACAATATGAGGTGTGGCTGCACGGCACTGAGCTGTGAACACAGAAGAATTCATAACAAAATATAGAAAGAAAAGAGAAACGGGCAGAATTAAATGACAGCATTACATCTGTAACCCATGTAAGATGGCCAGTTTTGATTTAATCTATGTACTCTTGGAGCTGTATTATTGCCATTTAAAATAAAAAAAGTTTAACTCAAAATCCTGGAAAGCTTATTTCTCTTTTCAGAAGCTTTGTCAACATTTGTGAAAACAAACATTTTATTTCTTAGGAAATTAAATTGTTTTATTGTTGTATAATATTTTTAACAGTTTTAAAGCAAGAAAGGTAAATATTAACAAAAGTAAACAATAGACATCTGCTTTATGTTTATGTTTTAATGCTGGTTGCTTCAGTTGGAAAGAAAAGTCACAGAAAACCTATTTCTGTTGTTCGGAGGGAGATCAGCTCTCTGTGAAGTACCACACCACCCATAGGGGGCGGTGTTGCTAAATGACACATACCACGAGGTGGGGAGAGTTGCTTGAATTTGTTCCAGCAAAGTCCGGAAAAAACAGACTTGGAAAATATCTGGAATCGCGCGGCGCAGCTGTTACGAAAGACTGCATTCGAGGAATCGGTGATTTTTCTCAGAACCATTCACGGTTAAAATGGCTCAGAACTAGCACGCTCGGCCAAAGAAGCGGAATTTATGCTTCGAAACAACATATTTGTGAATCCATCTCCATATCTCTACTTTTGAAGAAATCTTTGTAAATATCTCGAAATGGGACAAAATTCAGCTATCTACAGCGCACTGTTATAGAATGAGTAGAAATACGTTTATTTAAAAATATATATTTATAAATGTTAGTTTATTTCATTTCCACGGTGTTATCACCGCCCCCGCAAGCTGCCCCGGAGCCGAATTCATTCGTTAACCTTCAGGACCTGTGCACCACGTGCCCCCCAGCGCTGCTGCACAAAAACATCAGGGCAGGCTGCTGCAGCTGCCTGTGCTACACAATCAGCTCAGCACATGCTTTAGCTTCAGGGATCTGTTTGTAGCGACGGTCACCATCAGGCTGTTAACTCCTAGTGAGGTTTAGCTCGTAGTTTAAACGTTTAGGTAGGTTAGAGTTGAAATTAGCGACCGTTAGCGGCAGGTTTTCCCTTTTTTTTTTGTTTACGCTAAAACTAAAGTTGCTCGAGGAGACGCACTGCGAGTTAATACGACTTGTTTCCAACTTCACCTGCGAAATTAAACGTACAGGTTAACATGTCGACTGGTACCAAACAAGCGAAAAGCTGCCCCATCCCCACCAGGGTCCTCACCCTGAAGGACTGGTCCCAGCTGCCCGACTGCTACAGCCAGACGCCTGGGGGGACCCTCTTCTCCACCACGCCTGGAGGTAAAAAAATAAAAATAGCACTTTTTTTTTAGCTTTAACTTTGTTTTAAGTTATCTTTAAACACGACCAGAAGAACGTTTGCACTATCGACAGACTAGCTTGTGCGAAGACTCACGTTCCAACGTTTAAATCTCGCGATAAACTGCAAACAAAATGCCTTTAATTTTACTCTTAAACGTGAAAACAGGCAATTTCCTGCATGTTTCGCTTAGTTAATGATCAAGTTCATTAGATGGTATGCAAAACTAAGGGCAGTATTATTAAAGCGTTTTCTTTGTCTCCACTCTGGCAGTTTGCTTCCGTTATGTGTTAAAAAAAACATCCACGACTCATTTCTGTAACAGTTGTGAGCTTTTTAACAACATAATTTACTCAAGACATGCTATCTATCTATCTATCTATCTATCTATCTATCTATCTATCTATACACACTATTTACATATACATACATACATACATACATACACACACATATACATACATACACATACATACATATATAGGTGAGTCAGATCAACCCCCCCCCCCCCCCCCCCCATGTGGCTGTGGTTTGTTTCTGCATGAAAAACAAACTTGCAGTCGGGAAACAAAGCAGCCTTCTACCCCGTGATTTGGAGGGGTGTTTATAAATCCAGCTATTACCAGAGCCATGTGATTGGCCTCTGCATGGCTGGTGCAGCTGGAGGCTGTCCTGTCTGCTGCTCTGAGTTTGAGGAAGAGCAAATAACGCTTGGTACAGCTGAAGAGAAGGGGAGGGGGTTAAATGTTTAATGTGTTCTGATTTTGCTTTAAAGGAGGAGTGCACGGGCTAAAGGCGCTGTAGGAAACTCCAGAGCAGGATTTTGGCTTCCCTTCCACGGCACGTGCTCCATATGGGCTGCTGAGTGTTCCTAGACAGACCGCCCCAGCCCTCCTGTTTTTTTTTTTACATAACTGCACACTTTGCATTCGCCTGATTTCTGCTCGCTCCTCCTTTTTTGCTCTGCCTGTCTTTGTCCGGGTTCTGATCCCGGTCATTGCATAAGCTGTTTTTCCAGGCTGAGCTGACACAACAGTTCAAACTCCAGTGAAGGACATGAGCAGCAGACCGCTCCTTACCCGTGTCCCATAACAAGCTTTTATGACACGGATCCTGCTGGGTAGAGAAGATATGTCAACATGTTTTCAGATATAGGAAGCTGGTTGGGTCACGTGACTCCTGCTGCTGCGGGAGTTAAATAAAAGGAAGCAAGCATTAACATGCTCCCAGCGTCAGTGCCAGCCAGAGTAGGATTCACCTAAAGATGAAATCTCTCAAATCTGCACTTTTGTTGGCAGAGATGATTAATAAATTCTAACACTTTTCGTTTGTAAGCCGCTATTTGTCTCTTCACTTTTCATTTCTCACAGGAAGTGATAGTTGATGTTTAACTTGTTTCTTCTTCCTGAAACTCTAATTACAGGCACTCGCATAATCTACGACAGGAAGTTTCTCCTGGACTGTCGAAACTCCCCTCTGGCCCGGACGCCCCCGTGCTACCTGCCTCAGATCCCCGGGGTCACGGTACCGTCCACGCACCCTGTGGGGAAACTGACGGACCTCAAAGAGGAGGTGGAGGAAGAGGACAAGGAAATTACAGGTGAGTCGCTCTGAAACGGGGTTCGATTAGAGCCTTTTAAAAAGAATCTCGCCCAAATGAGCAGCCTGAGAAATCGGTCCCTTCCAGCCACCTCCACCAGATATCGGTGAAGTCGTGTTTTGCACGCTAACAGAGCTAATTAGCATCTACTTGCTGTAAACCTGCTGAGCTTGTTTTGTCATTCTCTTATTTAATTTGGATCTAGTTTTTCTATCTGTAGTTGTATTTCCTCTGAGGCTGACAATGTGCACGTTTGTAAAACCAGTTACCTTTTACTGGAAAATAAGACTTAGTTGGTGAACCATTCCTGCTTGAAAAGCAACACTGACATCCAATAAGGCAGCTGAGCTAACTGCTGGTCTGAATGTTTAAGCCAAGATGAAATTTAAGATGGTGGCATTATACTTTGGTCTTTGCTACATTTAGACTAGCCGTTAGCTCTTCAATTCCGTTAAATGTAGCAATTTCTACCAACTGAGGCCATTCAGAGGAGTCTTTTTTTTTTCCCTGTAACTCAAACAAAAAAGAGGCCAACGTATTCTTGTAGGCATTTGTGTAACCATGTTGCTGACTTTGTCTACACCTGATCAGCATCGTGGCGATTTGACCTCTGACGATAAATGGACGATAACTACAGGTATGCGCAGAAACAAAAGCTGTGATGGGGCTGTCGCATGTATTGCGTTGAGTCACACTGGCCGTGTTCGAGATGAGCCAGTTCTGCGCAGATTAGATCAGCGGTGATCAGCGAGCAGTGCATTCCGGTTAGATTTGTGTCCGACTTGACGCCGACCTGCTCTGACGTCATGCATACGTAGGCAACGATAACCTCGTGAGATCAAGGCGGCCGCAGACTTTGGAGCAAGGCGCTGCAGTTGTTCTCCACCGGCTGCAAAACCTAGAGGATGATGGCTCTCACCTGATCTAAGATCTGATTGGTTCATATTCTGATCCAAACATCCGGTGGTAGAATATGAAACGTTAGTTGGTCACATGTATTCTGTAAATCATGTTATGTTGATGATGACATCTATATAGGCTTTAAAGAAAAATGTGTTTTGTGTTCTTTTGTCACGTTTCCTATGAGCACACTGAACCTACAGCTGATAACCTTTACTTATTATTACAGTCATGTCTCCATATACAATATATGATATCCACAAGCATGTGAGGATGTGTTTCAGCTGCTAACAGGCACCAGAATTAAAATAAATAATTAAACAAGTACGAACGCTAACGCGATATCTTCATCCATCGTCACCCGCGAGCTACACATGTAGGGAAATGTGTCCGACTTAAACGCCGGCTGTCCCCATCGGTCCCTGTGCAGCCTCTGGAGCTTCAGCTCTAACAGAGAGGCTCATGAAGCGCTGCGGCGCTCCAGTTTGCCATCTCAGCTGATTTTGTGCAAAAACAAACCTTATTGCCTGTGTTTACTTTCATTTTCAATACATTTGCCAGCCGGCACTCAGCAATAACTCCCCATGTCATCATGACATCTGCCTCGGTTGCGCCAGGGCGCATACGACAGACCGTTACTGCAACATTACTACCAAGCGACGCGGAACGAATGCCGCAAAATTCATGCAACGCCATGCCGACATGGTGTGTGTTATAAAAAGAACTAAAGGGACATGAACGTTGCCAACCTACACACCTCTTCATTTTTTTTATTATCAAATTTATTGACCTGGGAAATGATCACAATAAGAGTCAGAAGTTTCAATAATGATAAATTTAGGATTTATTGCCCTGCCCTACTCCCCAGCCTAGCGTGAAGGTTAAAGCCAAGTTTTCTAAGCCTGTGTAGCATCTCACGGACGAGTGCTGCAGATCTCTCTCTCTCTCTCTCTCTCTCTCTCTCTCTCTCTCTCTCTGTCTGTCTCTCTGTCTCTCTGTCTGTCTCTCTCTCTCTCTCTCTCTCTCTGTCTGTCTCTCTGTCTCTCTCTCTCTCTCTGTCTCTCTCTCTCTGTCTGTCTCTCTCTGTCTCTGTGTGTGGTCCGTTGAGGTGTGGTCGTGTTGGTGAGGACGGTTACTGATAGTCAAATGTTATTTTACTTGTTTTTGTCCTCCTCTTTTCCCCCGACAGACGACAGCCAGTTTGAGATGGACATCTGAGCACCAGCTTTGCCTCCTAAGGAGAGTTACGGATTTAAAGTGCCTGGAGTCACGAGTGACTGAGCAGCATTAAACAAAGCTTTTTTTCACCTTTTTTTTTTTTATAAGAAACTGTGGGGAACTAAATGAGAAAGTAATGACAGTAGGGTGGGTTTCACTTTCTCTAGAAAGTGTTAACGGTAGGGTAGTGATTTTGTTACAGTGAGTTGATTGGTTGCTCACTTATTTCAAAGCAGGACTGAGTGGGAATGCTGTTGATTTAACTTTTTTATCTTTTGTAAATAAGACGTTTGTATTACGCAGCCAATATTTTAAGTTGAGGAAGATGATTTACATTAATGGTGTATCAACAGGCATGAAGCAGTTCCTTTTAATTTTTGCTCCAGAAATGGAAAGTTGAACTGAAATGGTGAGTGTCCTCATGGGGGGGTGGGGTTTCTGCTGCAAATCAGCTCTTACTTTGTTTTGTATGGAGAGTTGTGAAATCCTGAAATAAATAATGTGAACTGCTATTGTCTGTCTTCTTAACCTGCACAACATTAGATGTAGTTATATAACCCTTCTTATCCTCACCTTTAAGGATTTCCTGATGTGTGATGTGCACACTTAGGCGTCAGAGCTTGTAGGACAACTGTGCACTACTGTTTAGTACTAAATGTGCTGTTGTGCAATGAATAATGGTGATCCCAGCTGAAGCCGTAGCACAGGTGAGTAAAGTGCATGGGATGATCTGTGCAGATGCAGATCTCCACAGTCAGCTCTTCTGTTGATTATGCAATAAAGTAGCTACAGGCTAAGTTACTAACAGTCTAGAGTGTGATTAATCTGGATGCAGGATTTTACTGGTTTTATGGGAATGAACCTCATGCACGTCTGGTGTGAGAGTATAGAGTGGAGGTTAGCATGAACTTCAGACCACTCGGGGCCCATCTAAGCTGTGTTCCACCTCTTCTGTCAGCAGGGTGAGGGCTATGCTGGCTTGTTCCTGATCTGTAGCTCACGGGCAGACTGACAGCTGGTCTGAACTTGCAGAATGTGGGCAGCTGCAGCCTGCAAGCCAGACATGGCAACAGCCACATTGTGTGGCTGGGAGGGAGAGCAAATTTCTGTCCAAACATAACTTCAAATTGTAGCTCCAGATGGATTTTTTTTTTATGGCAGAAAAGATAATTTGAGCTCAGACGAGGCAGTGGTTGACATTTTACAGCTAACAGCAAGGGCGTCAGTTTTGTTTTCAGAATTGCTGGGGACAATAACCATACACTTGAGTGGGGTTTAAAAATTGCTGGGGACAATAAAGTAGGCTAGCACAGGGGTCGGCAATCCGCGGCTCTGGAGCCGCATGCGGCTCTTCCATCCATCTGATGCGGCTCTCTGTGCTTGTAAAATAATGAATGGATATTTAAATAAAATGCTTTATATTTTACTGCATAAATTTTACATCTGTATGCCAATTCTAAATGTAAAGATTGTCTGCGTAAACCTGAACAGGTCCAACCCGGTCTTACTGTGAGACCGGGTTGACGGGCCACGCTTGTGCGTAATCATATCGGCACTTTATGAGCTGACGAGGATGTGAGATTCTGGGATTCTCCTCAGACAGGCTCCTGGATGTGTCGCCACATTGGAGACAGGAACAAGCACTATTCAGCCAAAGTTTCATAATCGGGGACAGTCTGAGAGACAGGGTTTGGAAAACACTCGCTTCAGTGGGAGGAATCTTCCCGCATGCGCTCTGCATGGTTCTCTGCGTGGCTCTGGGGTTAATCAAGTTTAGTTGTTTCTCTTTGCAACAATCTTCACAGGAAGGCAAAACAGTTAAACGGCAGGTTACTTATATTTCCATTTGACTGTTTATTTTGACAGATGATCTCAAGGATGTTGCTTGGTTTGAAAGAATTACCCCGACGCACACTGATGCGCATGGATGAGCTGACATTTTAATCGTTAACGCACATCGCGGAGGTAAAAGATTCCCATCAGAACATCAGAGCTTTATGCTGGACACTGTGTTCAGCGCGGCTCGGAGCGCCCACGGTGGACAGTGAGCTGAAGATCTGGGGTTCCAACGCAGCGCAGTGCAGAACCACGGCGCATGCGAAAGGATTTCCTCCCACTGAAGCAGTCTGGAAACCCGGTCTCTCTGAGGGATGTCACTTGGAAAAATTTTCTTTTTATGAAATTATGAAACTTTGGCTGAACAGCGCTTGTTCCCGTCTCTAATATAGAGACGCATGACGCGTAGAGACATTTGATCACGCACAAAGTTTATGTGGAGCAGAAGCGGTCGGGCCACGGCAGGTGAAACGTTCCTAGCCTACGTGAAGTGAAACTGTTTAATTGTAACATTAATGTGTTACTGGACACGCTGGTCTGGTTGGTTAGACCAGTGTTTGAAGCGGAAAACACACACACACACACACACATGGACGTAATTTTCACTTTAGAAGTGGGGGGGGGGGCACGGGGGGGGTGTGTATTTACAGTATGTTCTAATGAGAAACAGGCTTCAACACAAACGGTTGTTTTCCGCTTGGTCCTAGAGCTCAACCAGTGTCAATTTAATATAGCGTAATATTGTTTTTGGATGGTAAAAAGCGCAGGGGTCAAAACTTGACTTTGGAAAAAGTGGGGGGGACATGTCCCCCCTGTCCCCCCCAAAAAAATTACGTCCATGCACACACACACACCAATTAAAATAATGCTGATAGCATGGACTATAAGACAGGTGATGGTTTACGTATTTAAATGATGATCAGGCTGCTGTAAAATGTAATCTCCATCCACATCCAGACACAATTATCCTCTATTCTTTCTCTATTTGCTCTGCTCTTGTCTGGGCTGATCAGCTGACGGTGCGCGCGGCGCGCCTAACTAGCGGCTGATGCACATTTTACGCATTTGGAGAGGTGGGCTGGATGCTTTGCTTTTACTGGAAGATGGTCCACTTAACGCACGGGTGTAGACTAAATATTAATGACAAATGAATGAAAATTAAATTGGGAGTTTTTACTTCATATTTTATAAATAAAAATGACGGGGGAACACATTTATGACGACTTTTTAAACGAAATTTTCTAGCGCGACCTGCCTGCTTCACTTAAGTCACTGCTTATTAAAGTCCGTCCAAAATTACCGTGGGAAACGGGTAATAATGGCTCTTTGATGGGAACAGGTTGCCGACCCCTGGTATAAGATCTGAGCTGGTAAAACAAAAATCCTCATCAGCAGGCGTTTTTGAAAGTGGGGGGGGGGACACAGCTGCCAATCACAAATTTTGCCGGGGACATGTCCCCGGCGTCCCCGGTTAAAATGACGCCTATGGCTAACAGTGATGTCCGGGTACAGCTGGAGTTCAGGGCGGATAAGACATCACGTGTGATTCTGTGATGTAGGTGGGTGTACACAGCTGTTCCGGTCCAGTGGTCGTCTGGACCTGACTGGGTAATTACATTAGAGCTAACGATGGACTCCTGATTTCATATTTGCTGCCCCACAAGATTAAAACTGCTGCACTCTGGTCCTATGCTGTTCTCTTTAAAGCGTGCAGAGCTTTGTGCTCATACACACCTGCTTGTGTTCAGCAACAGCAAAGATCACCAGAGGGATGTTATTTTATAAAGATCTCCGGTTCAAAGGTCACTAGTCCACCGACGCTGTGAGGGAAGTCGTCTGTTTTAGCGATGCAGGAAAAAACGTGACTAAAAACATGTCAGGGTGGATTGATGTGCACCACATGACCCCGTCTGATGGCTTCCAGGGACTACCTTTGGTGACAGGTGAAACTAGAAGTCCTTGTGCAAATATTCAGCGTGCACGTGTATTTAGTTTCTTTTACAGCAGTCTTTCAGTGAAAGACTTGTGTGTATTAGACCATTCGATGTAATCTTTACAGCAGCTTGGCTTCTAGGTTTTGACCTTGATTCCTTTTCAGCCATCTGTTGATGTTCATTGGCTAATTCTCTGGTTTTATGACCCGTTTGGTTTGAGCTTCCGCTGTCAGACAGGTGGCCAGATCATGGTTGACTCGAGAACTGCAAGATGCACAGGTCATGTGACTGCATGACAAGCCCAAATGATTGTCCCTCCACCTCCGTGCCTGCTGGATGGTGTTGGTGGGTGCTTGTTCCAATACAAGCCTGCTAACTTAGGCCTGTGCAGTCCGAGATGGCGCTCTGGAGTTTTTCTGGGCTTTGCCCTCTCTGATCTAAAGGTGCATTTGTTGGGATGCCCACTTGTGTGACGATTCTGAGCTGTTTTAAAGTTTTTGTTCATAATCCACCTCAGTGATGGACTACAAATGGTTTGGAAATGGCTTTTAAGCCATATCGATGGGCAGCATCAGTCACTGGTGTCTTTCTTATGCCTTTTGTTGTGGAAACAAGGTCTGAGATCATTCAGAACACACACCTGTGTGCTCCAGACTTTTCCATAGAGAGAGGTCACTGGTAGTCTACTGGTCTACTGGTGGTTCCCAGAATATCTAAAATTAGGATGGGAGGCAGATCTTTTAGTTATCAGGCTCCTCTCCGGTGGAACCAGCTCCCAGCCTTAGTCCGTGAGGCAGACACTTTGTCTACATTTAAGAATAGGCTTAAAACATTTTTATTTGATAGGGCCTATGGTTAAAATCTGACGTTAGCCTAAATCTGGACAAGTGGGGGAGTAGAGGGTGGTGGAGTGTACAGTCGGTAAAGACGGCTCTCCCTTGCCCTGCCTCCAACATGCCTCCATCTAAAAGGCTAGATTATCCAGAGTTATCTCTGTATCCATGCTTTCGTTCTTTTTTAAACACAGAAACAGTTTTGTTTACCTGTTTGTAGCTACAGTTTCTCGCGTCAGCCTGAAGAAGCCGGCAGCCGTCGGCAAAACTGTAGCTACAAACAGGTAAACAAAACTGTTTCTGTGTTTAAAAAAGAACGAAAGCATGGATTTAGAAAGACACAGCAAGAACACACCTAAGATGTTATCTCTGTAGTTATGCTGCTATAGGCTTAGACTGCTGGAGGACACACTGACCACTTTTCACACTCTACTACTTTCTTCTACTATCTGCTCTTTAACTGTATTATTTCCTGCCATTTCAGCTGTTAACTTTATTTTCTCTCTAAGTGTTTTTCTCCCTAGAAGAAGCTACAACGATGTTCTGCTGAGCTGTGGTGGCCTCATGGAGGGGGCCATCGACTAGCACACTGCTGCTAACCACTAAAACATTCTCCCTCTCCTGATAATAACTTTTTACTTTCCTTGACGTTGGATGTGTTACTGCTAGTTTACCCATTTAATTATAGATTCACTACAATAAATACAATAAAGTTTATCTCTCACCAAATAGAATATGTACTAAGAAATCACAGTGTAACCACAGACTCATTGCTTGTCTTTGTGTGTGTGCGTGCGTGCGTGCGTGCGTGCGTGTGTGTGTGTGTGTGTGTGTGTGTGTGTGTGTGTGTGTGTGTGTGTGTGTGTGTGTGTGTGTGTGTGTGTGTGTGTGTGTGTGTGTGTGTGTGTGTGTGCTCTATCTTCTTGATCCCCAGTGAGTCGTGGAGGATGGCTGCTCAAACTGAGCCAGGATCCTCTGGAGGTTTCTTCCTGTTAAAAGGGAGTTTTCCTCTCCACTGTCGCTTTATGCTTGCTTAGTATGAGGATTGCTGTAAAGTCACTGACACTAGTCAGTGACTTGATGCAATTTGCTGGGTTCCTTATATAGGAAACATTATTTCTGATTGGCTTAATGAACTGACCTGGATTGGAATGTTTATTGTGTGAGAATTGAATTGAATTGTGATGGGTGAAATAACACATCCCATCAGCAGATCCTTCCTTCCCTCTCGAACCTCGACCCGGGACTAGCACCTGTGTCGTGCACAGATAAATCATCAAGCTGTTGATCTCATCTAAACAGTTCTCCTACAATAGGTTGACACAGTTTCTAAATTAAACACAGTCGTGCATGAAAGTATGACAAGAATCTTTGCAGCAGCTGGGAGCGTCTCTGCTATATTTAATACCGAGCACATGACTGACACACGAGACTGTCACTAACCCTCTGGACATGGTGGAAAACACTGAACTGGGATTATACATGAGAAAATATGGAAAATAAGTACAACTGGAAGCATAAGTATTGTATAAATGAGACTGCCTGGATCATTAGTAAGAGTTTGAATCCTGTACAGATGTGAAATGTTGTTTTGGAAAGCATCTTCCTCATACTACACTGTTACACTACTGAACATCGCTGGAGGTGACACGTCTCGCTCTCCCCGTGAGCTGAAACTCACCCCGTCAGCTCAAGTTTCTCCGCCAGAGAGGCTGGCAAAGCCGAGGTTGGGATCTATTTTTGTGTGCTGCGCCCGTCAGAGCAGAGGGAACAGGCCCGGGCTAAATCGCCAGAGTAACGACATAAACACACGCTGAAATACACAACCTGCTTCCTGGTAGCTGTCAGGACAGGGAGGGGACAGGAAACTCAAGAGGACCACATGTTTTTTATACATGAACACCTGCACCTTTCACATCACTGCTCTGCTGGAAGTGCAGCAACGTTTCTGCAGAGTCACTTCTGCTGATTGAAACAGCTCACAGAATAATGCCATTGCTGGATTTCTGCTGTGCTTTTAAATCAATTCTTAGTCACATGTCGTCCATTTTGACACTTTGAGTTTCTTTTTGGAATTATATCACGCTTGCATGTATTTTTTCCAAGCATGCATGTAATTTTCACTTTAGAAGTGGGGGGGGGGGGGGGGTGTGTATTTACAGTATGCTCTAATGGGAAACAGGCTTCAACACAAATGGTTGTTTTCCGCTTGGTCCTAGAGCTCAACCAGTGTCAATTAAATATAGCGTAATATTGTTTTTGGATGGGAAAAAGTGCAGGGGTCAAAACTTGACTTTGGAAAAAGTGGGGGGGACATGTCCACCCCCCACCCCCCCCCCGCCACCCCCCAAAAAAAATTATGTCCATGTTTCCAAGTGAATCTGTTTCTGTCACTGTTGCACAATCTCTGTTGTGCCTCTGAGGGCCGCTGTGAGGGCTGACTGTTCAAAGCTGCTGCCAGGCTGTTGCTTAATGTACACTGGGCGCCTTTCCAAACAACAACTCATAGGGTTTTAGGAAATATGTCCCAGACCACGTTAAGATTTGTCACTGATTTTGCACAAGCCTACTGCTCTGCATTATTGCACAACCTCAGAATGTTGCATTTACATTGTGGCTTCTGCCATGCTCGATGCAGATGTCTGGAAAAATCACCACAATTTCCAGGAAAAGAAGAGTCTATGTTGGCGTTGTGTTCACTATAATACTCAGGATACACACATCGTTTGTCCTTCAGAGTAAAAAATCATCATTTAGGTTTTTTGTTCTTTATTCACACATGTAGCTGCTGAAAATGCTTCAAAAGTGAGTTGGGCAACAGGAGATCTGAGGCACTCAGGAGATGCAAAAAACAATTTTGCTGATGTTTTCACAGGACGTACCTTTTACATTAATTCATTCATCAGTTGCAACACTTCATTTGTGGTCTACAGACTAGAATGCCCATGTGGTTGCTTTTATACTGGGAGAACTAAACGTAAGTTAAAAGTAAGACTTGGAGAACACAAACAATCAGATGTGGTAATCCTCTATATCAGGGGTGTCAAACTCATTTTAGCTCAGGGGCCACATTGAGGGAAATCTAGTCCCAAGTGGGCTGGACCGGTAAATTAAAAACAACTTCAGATTGTTTTCTTTGTTTTAATACAATCAATATAAAACAAGGCTGGAGCCTGAGGACAGTGTATCCATAATAGTACAAGTACAACATCTGAAGTGTACTTGAAAAATCGAAAAAAAAAATCAATCAATAAAAAAACAATCCTTAGTGATTCAAAGAGCTTACAGATCACATGGCTAGATCAGTTTCATGCAGCAGTATATTTGACTCATTTTACTTTACATCTTTTAGCTTTCACCAGCACATCAATATCAGAAGTCACATCCTGAGTGGCAGGCAACTTCAGGATGTGATTCAAGTTCTTGTGTGAGCCTTGAGCGCAGCTTTGTTTTATTTATACTCATTACAGAGAAAACTTGCTCACAAAGATAAGTTTATTTTCACTCTACATTGTAAAGTATGAAAATAAAGTTTACACAACCATCTCGCGGGCCAGATCCGGCCCGCGGGCCGGATATTTGACACTCCTGCTCTATATCCTATGGCAGTGCATTATGAAGACACAAATCATGGAAGCTGTAACTCTATAAATCACAGGGATTGAACATCTAAAACATTCAATTAGAGGAGGTGATAGGCTTAAAAAACTCTTGCAAAGAGAATAATTTTGGATTTAAACATTAAAAGCTACGAATTTTCCAGGTCTTAATGGAAAAGTGGATTTCCCTCCTTTTTTGTAATTCTATGTTTTCTTACCATATTTGTACCATATTTACTTATAATTTTTTCTTTTTCTCAACTCTCTAAGTGTAAGTTCTCCTTAGAATAGGACTGTTTAGAATGTAAAAGAGTGTTTTTTGTGCGATATTGGTCATCCGATCACGAGGTTGTCTACCTGCCCAACTTCAGCAGGTGCCACTGATTGGCCTTCTTAACAAGGAAGTGAGAGGACCTACAAACATTTTGAGCCCTGACAAGGCTCTGTGGGCTGAAGCGCGTCGGCATTTATGTTTTTAACTATTTAAGTCGTGCACCAATAACGGCTTTTTAATTTTGCATCTCCTGAGTGCCTCAGATCCCTTTTGCTCAACATTCACGCGGATCCCTTGGCTGAAGAGCACCAGATAAAAATTTTCACACCCCTGCAGCACTTCCAGCATTTTTTCTATTTTCATGCTTCAAAAGTAATCGGATAGATTCATTAGTTGAATGTTTTTGTTTAATTTTTGTACAGCTTTTGAAGTAAACTCTATTAAAATGCTTGGTGCAGCTATTAATCAATTTCCCTCTGGGATTAATAAAGTATTTTTGAATTGAATTTGAATTCAATTGAATTTAACGTAAAGAAATTCAAAAATGGCTATATTGGCCACTTGGTGCAGTACATCATCTGTGTGCTAACAGGTCTAAGATTGCATGACATTACGCAGAATGCAAATTTATTTTTTAACATTTAACACAAATAGTTTGAGATATGAGCTCTATGAGATATTTTTCCATTGAGTAACTTTCCCACACTTATAAAATAACTTTTTAAGTAGACATGAGTGCATGAATGTTGCTTTTCTCTAGAAACCTGTGTTGTGTGGGGTCCCGAATGGGCCTTGGTCTGCTTTGCAGTTGTTGAGCTGGCTGCACGTGCACGATATTAACAAGTCACCACATTAGAACGTTTGTCTCATTCTCTTCTGTGAAGTCACACACACACACACACACGCGCGCGCGCACATACACACACACACACACACACACACACACACCGATTATCTCTGCTTGTGGATCATTTGACTGCCTTTATAGTACTCTTAAACATTTTCACCACTCAGATTTACTTTCAGTACACAAGTGTTTACATACCTCCATGTGTCTCGGTCTGATTGTAAGAAGACAGCAATATAATTGATCTGCAACTCTGAGAGTAAAAAGACTGACTTGGAAAAAAGGCTGCTCCTTTGTAAACAAGTGGTGTGCGGGAGTCTCCCAAATTATTGTGCAAAAATTTATAAAAGGCAAAGTGGGTCTGTTTGTTATACAATAAATTCCCACATCATACATAAATATGTTGATGTTGATGAAATAAAAATAGCTTTCCTGTTTCTTTCTGTGTTTATAATGAAAAAAAAAGACAAGCAAATTTGTCAACATGTTATTTAAACGCAAAGGGCGTCTCCCGATGTGCATCCTGATGAGTAGGATAGATAACACACGTTTGCCTGTTTAATGGAGGTTAAACTAAATGTGAAGCAGAAGAGCGTCAAAAATTATTCTCAGTAAATTATGAATCATGATTACTGGAATAAAATAGTTTAGAGCAGGTTTACGCTGACATCTGCTGGTCAAAAATAGAATTGCATGTTGCTCATTCGATGCTGCAGTCAAGGTCAATGAATACAATACAGTTTAATCTATAAAAATAGTTAGCTTTTGTGTTTTTAAAGCGGATAATCAGCCATTTTTCCACTAGTATGATCGAACGCTGAAAGATATGAGCAACAAGGTCACTACTGAATGATTAACGTGAATAAGGCACTCATCCGGGTTGTTTTCTCTCCTGTAGTTTACTTCACTGAGGTGGCGGGGTTGACCTGTTTAATCTGTTAACAAGTCATATGACCCGGAGTCGTTGTTTTTATTTTTTTTCTCCGAGCGTTCCTTTGTGTCATCGCTCTGATGTCTGATTGGTTGCCACGTCCACTGGTCGCGTCTTCCAGCCAATCACGTGCTCCGCTGACCACCCCTTTTTAAAAATTTTCCTCTGCCCACTCCTCTCGCGCGTTTCCCCACTACAGATGACGTCACGCCCAGCTAACGCGATACGCACCGGGCCTAGAGGTTCGCTTATTGCAGTAAAAAGAGAGGAAAAGGGAAACACGGAGGAGGAGTGTCCCGCTAAACCACCGCTTCTGTGCGCAACGACGCTTTTGCTTATCGTTTATTATAAGGTAAGCGGTTCAACATGTCCATTCACTTCTACATTTATGTGTATTTTAAGCCTGGCTGCTGCGAACTGACTGGGTTATGACACCAGAGCTGGGCTGGGCCATGGCCTGCAGGTACCACATCTGTTAGCTGACTTTAGTTACATTAAAATTATACCCTAGCTCGATATTTAACTAAGTACGTCTTATAATTCAAATATGTCTTTAATATTTAGCTAACATGATGATTTTTAGCCTCACTGGGGTCATTTTAAGTAATTCTCGTTGATGTTATATAGTCTTAATATTGTTTTAGCTCGTCATGGTTCATGTTGTTTGCCCTGAGTGGGTATTTGTGTTAGATAAACGGGATCCTCCTAATTAGCTCCACTGGGGTGTCTTCTTTAACAGCCGTCTTTATCTGCTCTGGGTCCTAGAAGACAAAGAAGCTGCTTGTTTACAGCTGTTTCTGAGTCTGAACATGAAACTTAGATTTTACTGTCAATTTGAAAATAGAGTTAAATTAAATGAGTGGCACGTTTCCTCTTGTTGCCGTTTGTCTAATTATTTCCAGATTAATCATGCTGCCTGACTGAACGTCACCCTGATGTTGAGGTGGTTTCGCATCCTGTTCACATCACATCTGATTAGAACTGAGTCTCACATGAGCGGTCCTGTTATCACCATGGTTTTGTTTTGGGAACGTTGAGCTCATTTACAGTGAGAAAGATTTGAATCCCTTACAGGTTTTTGTTGTCTTCTAATGTTTCAAATCAGCAAACATTTCAATATCAGCTAGGGTTGTCACAGCGTGAAGATTTAACCTCACGGTTATTGTGACCAAAATTACCACGGTTTTCGGTATTATCCCGGTATTTTTTTAAACGTGCTACATTTTCAGACAACTAAATAAACCCTGTATATCAGGAAAATATTGTCCTCAGTTTGTGTCTAAATTTTGCCTAAAATGTGTTATTTTGTAATTATGTTGTTTATTTGTTTACATTTTTCCCTTTAGTCTTTAAAATACCAATATTTGCCCATAACTTCTTATTTTATGTCTGTTTGATGTCATCATTTTAAAAATGTTAGATCAGATGATACTCAGTACTCAAGTAGCCTTCTACTCGGATACTTTTTACCCTTACTTGAGTAATAAACCCTATATCAGGGAAATATTGTCCTCGGTTTGTGTTCCAGTGAGCTTTGCAGATGTGGGAAAATGTCATCAGGCAGTAATCATTGTTAAATTCATAATTATTCTCGGAGAGAGACCAACTCTCATCTGCCCCTGGGAGCCCCGTAATGCATAGCGTCATTTCAACATGGCGGTGTCCGCGACACGGTTTATATGCAGGTAGCGGCGCTGCGGCTGCTTTATATAGCGACTCGTGTCATTCTCCCTCAACCCAAATCCTCGGATCACGCATTTTAGCTAAAACGCTAACGTTAGCTTGCCTTGCGTTGACTGTAGAGTTGTGGGTGATGGTCACGCAGATATGTCATGAGATTTGAAGCGTTGCTGCCTTTCACAGACACTTTTTCTGCACGTGCTGCAAACAGGATAGCCGTCTTCTATCAGCTGTCCCTCGGCATTCTTCAAATATCCAAAAGATGCCTGTACTTCCCACTTTGTCTTCTTTGAGGGATAATACATTTCCTGAGCGCTGCCGTCTCCTCCTTTGGCCATTATTTCAGCTTTAGCTTCAAGAAAGTTTTGGTCGTAAACAACAAAGTGCGCATGTGCCGCCGGCAACTTCAGCAGATGATACGGTGGCTGGTAAGGGTCACCGCGCCTACACCGCAGCCACGGTAATCCACCGAGATAATACATCTTTTTAAAAAACAAGACAGTTATTATTATTAACTTTTTTACCTGGGTTTACCGCTACACTGGTTACCGTGACAACCCTAATATCAGTTGATAAAGAACCCAAGTTACAACATGCAGTTTTAAAATTCTGATTTAATTAATCAAAGGTATTAAAAGTTCTCTGAACCAGCCCGGCCCACTGTATAAAAAGCAACAGTGTCCCTTACGAACTGCGGTAGCCTCAGCATTTAGAAAGCTGAGTTCGGTTTCACCGACCACACCTGGAGCTGTAGGATCAGAGCATTTCTTTAGTAGAACATGTTTGTTAAAGGAAGCGGGGTAAACGGCCTGTATTTGTACAGCGCCTTCTTAGGGTTCTACAACCCCCCAAGGCACTCCACAACACAATCCGTCATCCACCCATTCACACACACAATGTAGCCACAGCTGCCCTGGGGTGCACTGACAGAGGCGAACACTGGTGCCACCAGTCTCCCCGACCACCACCAGTAGGCAAGGCAGGTTAAGTGTCTTGCCCAAAGACACAAAAACAGCATTTTCTGGTGGGAGCCGGGCTCAAACCTGCAACCTTCCAATTACTGGGCAACCCACTCTACCTCCTGAGCTACTGCTGTCCCTCATCAGACTTTGCTTTAGAAAATGGAAACATAAGAACCAGGAAAAACATCAAATTCACCACAGGCCATACTTACGCCTCCTTCACACTGGAGGCAGGAGTGGCACGGAACGACAACGGAATGGTTTACTCGTGTGATTCGATATTCCACACAGGGAGAGTCTCAGCTGCAGAGCAGCTTTTCTGCCGTCCTCCTCACCGGACACGTAAGATCATAAAATTCCTTGAGACTTAAATGGTCATGGTTTGTTTATGCCATCTGCCATTAAACCAAAAAGAAGAGGAAGGAGCTCACGTCAATGTTGTGGAACGGGTGGCCCATGGTGGCGGTGGGGTAGAAGAAGAAGAAAATAGAATAGAAGAAAATTTCTTTAGCACCTCTCAAGATAAAAATCACGAGGCGCTTCACAAAAACAAAAAACGTAAAAATATAAAAAAAAAGAATTTAGGAAATGGTTAAAAATATATTTAAAATGAGCAAAAAATAGACAATTGTGATTAAAAAACAAAATGTAAAGAAAGAGAGAGTGAATAGGAAAGCGTGAAATCAGTGGTTCCTGAGGAAGGTGGGGAGAGCAGAATAAAGAGAGAGTGGTGAAGAAGGTCATACAAAAGCCAACTTGAACAAGAGAGTCTTCAGCTGCTTTTTAAAGGAGACCACTGAGTCCACTGATCTCAGGCCCAGGGGGAGAGAGTTCCAGAGTCTGGGGGCCACAGCAGCAAATGATCTGTCACCTTTGGTCTTTAGCCTGGTGCTGCACAACCAGTAGGCTTTGGTCACTGGACCCCAGGGACCTGCTGGGGGTGTAGGGACTAAGATCACCAATGTAAGATGGCGCTTGTCCATGTAAGGCCCTATAGACCAGAACCAGGATCTTGAAATGAACCCTGAAGTTGACTGGCAGCCAGTGAAGCTGGAGGAGAAGCGGGGTGATGTGGGTGTGTTTGGAGGACTTGGTCAGAAGCCGAGCACAGGCATTCTGAACCACCTGTAGACGGTTCAGGGAGGTTCTGCTCAGACACGTGAAAAGAGAGTTACAGTAGTCTAAGCGTGAGGAGATGAAGGTGTGGAGAACTGTCTCAAGTTCAGAGCGGGACAGAACGAGACTCAGCTTAGCAATGTTCCTGAGATGGAAGAAGGAAGAGCGAACAAGAGAACGGATATGAGAATCCAGGGTGAGAGCTGGGTCAAAGGTCACGCCAAGATTCCTGACAGAAGGTTTGTTGTGAGAAGCAAGCTGACCAAGAGAGTCTCTGACTTTGGGAACCAGCTTGTCTGGGGCACAGATGAGGATCTCAGTCTTATCTTCATTCAGCTGTAGAAAGTTCCCACCATCCAAGTTTTGATAGTCTAAGCAGGTGTGTAACAGGTGCAGCTTAGACATCTCATGGGGCTTAAAGGAGATGCACAGTTGGATGTCATCTGCATAAAGATGGTAGGAGATTCCTTTGAAGGAGCTCAGGATGTGCTGAAGAGGGAGCAGATAGAGGAGGAAGAGCAGAGGCCCCAGCACAGAACCTTGTGGGACACCATGGGTAAGGGAGGTGGTGGAGGACTTAAACTTGGAGACGGCCACAGAAAAGGAGCGCTCAGAGAGATAAGAGGAGAACCACTCCAGAGCAGATCCTGATAGGCCTACCCAGTCTCTCAGCCTGCCCATAGCAGGGTGGGTACTGCTATGGGCAGGCGTATGATATTTTGGATAACGAACACAGGTGCATTTTATTGATGGTATTTTGAACAGTGCACATGTCAGGGTGTCCTTTTATTATGGGCAGCCTAAGGCACACCTGTACATTATTCATGCTGTCTAATCAGCCCCTTGATATGCCACACCTGTGAGGTGGGATGGATTATCTTGGTAAAGTAAAGGTGCTCACTAACACACATGTAGACTGATTTCAGAACAATATTTGAGAGACATGGGTGTTTTGTGCATGTAGAAAAAGTTTCAGATGTTTGAGTTCAGCTCATAAAAATGAGAGCAAAAACAAAAGTGTTGCGTTTATATTTTGTTTAAGGTAACCTTGGCACTCCTTGAAAGATGCTGGGAGTAAATACGCCATTAGGTCACATGTAGTGACGTAATCTAAATAGGTATGAAATTGCATTGCTGCAGTAGTCTTTTATTTTGAAAATTATTAGGCATTTTACACTGAAACCGTGTGCGAATTCCAGTCTAGTTCTATGTTAACTGTGGCAATTGACATGTTCCAGAAGCAGCATGCAGCAAAAATAAAATTTAATCCTATTTTTAGCGGAGTGGCGAGCTGCTTCAGGGACGAATATTTAAATATTTCTGCACCACAGCCAGTTGATCAACTATAATGGATTTTATAAACTCAGGATATATTTGCCTGAAACTAAAATTTGTTTGCTGGTCTGAAACATAAAAAAACCAGAAGTAATCTGTAAGGTTTGAAGTGCTTTTCACCCTATCACCCTACATCTGATGTTTAGCTAGGTGAAAACCAAATGGCATGCAAATGGACCCAGACCAAGCCACACAGTGAAGAAAAACAGAGGCTGCACAAATCTTCCTCCCAAGTAAAATTTATTCTTTTCAGATTTGA